GACGACAAGAAAAGAAGAATAAGAAGGTGCAGCTATTGACGAGGCGAAGAAGAAGGTGGCGGGTTTGATCGAGCGCATCAAGACGAACATGATGAGAGCGTCGACGAGGTGGTGGAGCCGAGCGGCCTCTTCACCGACGCCCAACTGGTTGCCGCCTACAAGCAGCTGGCGCGCAACCACACCATCCCCCGCCAAAAGTAACGTTGCATGGCCATTGGCGCCAAATACCAAAAAAGAGATCTTTGACTGGTCAGGAGCCGTGCTGCTGTTGAAAGACGTCGTCGGAGTCGAGGTAGATCTTCTCGCCGGCGAAGAGCCGACTCTGCGCGTCCCACGGCATGAGGATCACCAACCGACAGTGAAACGTGCGCCCCGATGCCCTGTAGCCCTGCCATTGACCTGTCCCCCCAACAAAGAAGTTGATGATGCCAAAGGCAATCATCATCAGTCCAGTCTTTGCGTAGTCAGCCCCCTGTTTTTCTTTGCTTTCTTGATGTGTACCTTTGTGTGTGGCGGTGAGCAGCACCTCCTGCACCACGCCCTGTGGACCAATCTGCACCGATACAAGCAACGCATTAGGTGGTACGTGGTGATGGTAACGAAGGTTAGCCACAAGAGAAGAGAGTGCATTCGTACGAAGAGGTCCAGCGTCTCGAAGTTGGCGTCGGGAAAGGCTTTGAACAGGTCCGCGTAGTAGTCCTCCACGCCGCCACGACCCCGCCACCCGTGCCCTGCATCGCCACCACAGATTTTAAACACGTGAGAAAAAAGAAGCGTAATCAGTAAAGGCTCATCATGTAGTGACATCATCATCATCATGGTCATCGCCATCATCGTTATCATCAATGAGCGTCGCCACGAGCACAGCACCTGTGGAGCAATCCTCGATCGAGCAGTCCTGTGCAAAGCACTGTGCGGCCTCCTTGCCGTCCTTCTTCGCCCGTGCCAGCGCTGAGGTGCTCAGAAGGGGGGGGGAGAGAAGGTCAAGAAGGGCGGACCCGCTTGATGACATGTGATCAGGAGGGAGAAGGTACCGAGACGCTTCCAGGTGGCGCGCACGTCTTCATAGTCCTCCGCGGTGAGCGGAAGGCGAAACCGATCGAGGATCTCCTCCTTGGGCGGCACCCGCAGTGCACCACGCCCGAATCTCTCTTTCCTGCCCAGAGTATTTAATTTTCAAATTTCTCCTTTCTCTTTTTTTATGTTCAATATTTCTATTTATTCTTAATAAAAGAGACATATTTATTAAAAAATAAAAAGAGAAAGGAGTACCGCCAGGGAGTGGGGGGCACGTAGTTGGAGGAGGTGAGGAGCAGGGCGGCACCGAGCCCCACGGCTGCGCCCAGCGCGAAGGCGTACCCCGACCACCAGCCCCGTGCCGGCTGTGATGACGCGCTGCCACCCACCGCTGCTGCGCTCTGCAGTTGTGCCACCCCAGCTGCCGCCGTTCTTTCGTTCGTGGCCGGTGTACGTCCACCGCCCCACGGCCAGGCCCAACCACTTCCCCACTTACCGCCATTCCCCTCCATCTTTTCTTTTTTATTCGCACATTTCATAAACATTTTTGATTTCTTGCTGCGGCGGCCGGTAAAATCTGCCCACCGCTTCAAGTTGGATTAAATATTTTGTTGTGCAAGCCAGGCCAATGGGGGTGAGTGGTCAGGGCGCAGCAGGCTGAAGTGAGGCCACGGCGCGTTGCAGTCCTTCGCGCGAGATCCAGAGCAAAGGCTGGTCCGTGTGCACGCGCAGACAGGACTGGATAACGACCATGGGGCTGTTGACGCTCTCATCTGCCATCATCTGCGACCACACCTTCTCCCAACTGCCAAACCAACAACACCCCCACCACCACCACCACCAATGAGTATATCCGTGCGCATTGGCGTGCATATGTCAGTGTATGTTTGTTGGGCGTTTGTAGTGTGTAGGTGTGCAACGAACCTGACGAGAGCCTGCAGGGTCTTCTGCATGTCCTCGCTCCAGCTCGACGCATAGTACGTGTTGATTTCGTCGAACGACACCGGATGTTGCAAGTCGTCGATGCTACACAGATACAGCAGCACGGACACCTTCTCGGCCGCTGTGTCACCCACCCCCAAACCCCAACACGCGCCACGTCAGCAATACCTTAAAAAATCGCATATTTGAATTACTTGAATCAAAATGGTTTACGTACTGACGTCCTGGCTCTGGAGCTGGTTGAAGAGCCGGCGCTTCAGCTCGCTGCGGGCGTCGTTCCCGAAGAGCGAGAGCTGGGTGAAGTACTTGAAGTCGATATTCTCCGCGATGCGAGAACCAGAGGCGTCGACGCCGGGCAGCGCAAAGGCTTGGGGGTCGATGAGGGCGGCGGAGAGCACTGACTTAACGCAGGGCAGCCACCGCGCCAGGTCCAGCTCGAGCTCCAGGCGCGACGGCTTCGACTTCTCCGCGACCACAAGTGGGTCCGAGAGCGCGTCTGCGAGGAGAGCGGTAAGCCGGGGGCTACTTTCGCACAAAGCAATGTCGCGGCCTACGGCGTAGGGAGTGGTGGGGGTGGGCTTGTACAGGTGACTTCCCAGTCAACGCCAGCCAACCCTCGAGCTCGCCAGATCAGCCGACAGATGCCACGCGCCGCAACCCACTAAATTTGTTTTTGACCGCCCATGAAACCACACACACACCACTCAATCAGAGTCCAATCTTCATATTGAAACTGTGTGAGTGAATGGGCAACCTGGAAATGGCGGATGGACTTGTTCTGCACCAGTAGCCGTAACTCCTCCGGCAAACGCGCCAGCTCGTCGGCAGCACTTGGGTCCTTTTCTTCCTGGCACTGGGCCAGGCGGGCAGCCAGACACCTCGCCGCCGCATCTTTGAGCGACACGGCCTCGCCTTTATACACATATATGTTTATAGAGATATAGAAATATACAGTTAAATTCCATTGTAACCAAGTATTTCCATATTTAGTTGCGGGGAGTGGACGACGTACCGGGAGGCGGTGGCAGGAGGGAGGTCAGAAGAGCAACAACACGAGCGGTCTCCTCCGTAAAGCCAGCGTTTTCATCTTGGGAGGGATCGCCGTCGTTGTCGTCGTCATCGTGGTCTTGCCACTCCACAGAGGCAACGAATGAAAGCGCTGTGAGCGCCTCGGCGCGTATGCTGGCCGGCTGCGTGACGTCGTGGAACAGGGCCACCAGGAACGCTCGGCTCCGCCACCACCACGGATGCCCCTGGTTTGGGTTTGGGTTTGGGTTTGGGTTTGGGTTTGGGTTTGGGTTTGGGTTTGGGTTTGGGTTTGGGTTTGGGTTTGGGTTTGGATTTGGGTTTGGGTTTGGGTTTGGGTTTGGATTTGGGTTTGGGTTTGGGTTTGGGTTTGGTGTACGTACGACGAGGCAGGAGATGATGCGCGACTTGAGCGCCTCGTGGTCGCTGTCGCCCCTCCACACCTCCGCCATGTACGACAACCGAGACTCGCTTGCGCCGCTCTGCAGGTCGCTGCCGCCGGCGGGGAAGGAGTCCAACAGCTGCGAAACCACCCGCACGAAGATTTCGGCGGTGTGTGGATCGTTAACCGGTACTCCGACAAGCTGCGCGTGCGTAGGGGAATGCCCGTCGGGGAGCACCAGGTCCATCAGAGCCTGAACACCGACAATCACATTAGAATTTCTGGTCAACTAGCGCTCGCTAGGATTCGTGGAGGGCGTTGTTGTTGTTGTACCTCGACAATCGCCTGTCGGTTGGGTACGCTCGAGAAGTCGAGCAGGTACAGGAGCCACTTGACCGTCGCCAGGAACGCCCGGCTGCGATTGGCTGTGATAGAGTTGTGAAAAAAAAAAGGAAATATTAGCAGTGTAACATGTGGTTGCTAAGGAAAAGCACAGCGTACTGGTGGTGAGGACGGTTTCCTGCATTTTCTGGAGCGTGTTTCTTTGAGTCATGAGCGAGCACGACGCAAGTCGTCGAATCCACTTCATGGGTTTGATGCCTGGCACACATGTTACAGTGTGTGATGACGGAGAGAGACGTGAGACAGGCAGCACGTGCAATTAATTGCAATCCACAACAACACGCACCCAAGTCTGGATCGAGGTTCCACCAGTCTTCGTCCTCGATTCCACCAAAGTCCGGTACTCTGCGCGTTCTCAATCATCAGCTTGTGTGTGTGTGTGTGTGTGGTGTGTGTGGTGTGTGTGGTGTGTGTGTTGTGTGAGGTGAATGTACGTTTCATTAGGAGTCTGGTTTCCAGGCGGCGGTGCCTCCAGGAATTGCTGCAGGGCCTCCCGTGTCGCCAGGCAAGAGGAGTGCCTACCGTGCAGCTGCTGCTGCTCGAGCCACTCCCACGTTGCGTCGAACTGGGGCTCAAACGCCAGCCGCCGGAGCTGGTCCACGACCGGCGAGCGCAAATCGTGCACGACCGAGCCGGGCGGCGGATCGAGCAGCGACACCAGGCACCGCGCCAGATTGCCGCAGGACTGTATTGTTGTTGCGGTGGTGGCCAGGTAATCCAGAAGACGCGGGGTGATGTGCTGATGAGCCCACGCGGGAGTCACCTTGGCGCAGGCTTCACTCAGCATCTGTCGTGTAGAGAGAGAGAGAGAGAGAGACGGTCAGCTGAAGCCAACCGCGAGTGTCGTGCGCATTGTCGTGGTGCGTGTCGTGTGTCGTGTGTCGTGTGTTGCGTCGCGTCGCATCGTGCGCTGTGTTGTGTGTGGTGCCTTTGCAAAGTCCAATGTACGAGCGCGACGGCGAAGTAGAGTGGGCTCCTTCCCGGGAAGGAGGGCGGTGCTCCCGTCGCCAACGATGGTGCCACCAGCTTGCGGACTCGCCTTGGTTGCCTGCCTGGCCAGGCCCTGAGACTTGAGCTGCTGTTGGGCCAGTTCACGAAAGACCTCCGCGGGCACCACCTCCGTGATGGGCAATTCCACTTCGTCATAGTTGCCACTGTGCCACAGCGAGTCTCCTCCTGGTACACAATCAATAATTTAATGTTGTCATAATAAAGGAGAAAAATGCCAAATAAATAAAATAATATAAAACTGAATGAGAAAATAAAAGGGAAAAAACGAACCGGGAAAAGCAGCCCAAGCGGCGACCACGGCGGTGTCGTCGGCAATCACGGAGAGCGCGTGGACGATTGACGATATCGGCGGCTTGGCCAGGCGCTGCAGGGCCATGAGGGCCAGCGCTGTCTTGGTGAGCACGCCCGCGTTTGGCAACAACGACTCTGAGTCTGCCGCCGCCCACACGTCCTCGAGAAAGTACAACACCTGCTGATGGTCCTCCTCCACTGTCTCATCTGGACACGTTCTGATGGGGAAGGCGTTACTGCCGTGTGTGTCGCGTGTGCTGCGTGTGCGGCGTGCGTCGTGTGTGTGCCATGTGTGCCGTGTGGGGGAGATGGCGAACCGTAACCGGAGGTCGAGCTTGAGGGCCGCACAAGCGCGCGCCTTGTCGTTCGGCTCATTCTCGATGAGCGACGTCGAGAGGCCCTCGACCCAGATGGGACTCGGGACGCAGTCGAGCAGCGTCACCTTCACCTCGGGCGTAACCCATTTGCTCCTCTTGTGCGTGTGTCGTGAGTGCGTGAGTGCGGGTGCCGTGCGGGGGGTAGCGTAGGACGGGAATATAGGGCGTGTATGAGATGACAACGGTGCGCCGGGGGTCGTACGAGAATGGCGTCGGAGAGTTCCAGCAGCGTGTCGCTTTCGAGGGAGGACGCCACGAATGGGCAGAAGAGGAGCAGATCGGCCAGCTGCGTCTCCCTGGCTGCAGCCACTTCGTCGGTCATCGCCTCTCCTCGTTCCCTTGCTTCACTCTGCGCCACACACACACACACACAATGCACACGACACAACACACAGCACACACGCAACACACACAACACACAGCACGCACACACACACACACACGAAACTCGAGGGCATGAGCTGGGGCATATCATGCACATACATGAGGGGTGGGCCAAGGGCGGGGCGAACCTGGCGGTAGAGGGCATTCACGATCGCGGTGCACAGCTCGTCGGCCAGGCTGCCGGCGACATCAGCCCGGCTCGAAGGGTCGCTCGCAAGCTTGAAGAGAAGGAAGGCCCGAGCGACCTGGCTGCTGCCCACCTCCTCTCCCCCCTCGAGCGCCTGCCGCACCCACCATTCTGTTCTCCACCATCGTAAAGTTGTTATAAAAAAAACGTGCTCAATCTTGAGTGCTACGCACCTAGGGTGTGGTCTTGAGGCTGAGCGTTGGCCTCCATCGTTCTTCTTGGTCTAATTTAAATTGAAGCAGAAAAAGCTGCCCAACTACGAACGCGAAATACACTCCAAACGTAAAAATGCAAAATTGTATTTGCGTTTGGTGAAATTTCAGCCCCGAAGCCAGAAGTGAAACCACCGAAAAACAAAAATAAAAATAACAATAAAACGCCACAGAAGATGGAAGGACAAGCAACAACGAATGAGGAGGTACACAAGGGGGCGTCCGCCTCTGGAGCTCGGCGAGGCAAGACCGCGAGGGGCGATAGCAATGCGCTCAAGCGAGTCAAGAAATCAATTGAGGATGCCAATTTCTACGAGGCGCTCCAGTTGATTAAGATGCTCACTAGCAGGTGCCTCTTCCACCCCCCACACCCTGTGCGGCCGCTCGGCCGAGGTGTTGCCAGTGCGTTAATTCGAATCGCTACTTGCTAATTTCCCTATCAATTGAATCGCAAACAAAGGCACATGGCACAAAAGCGCTACGACGAAGCTGAGACAACGTTGGTGACCGGCATGGAGGCGCTGCTCACGCACCACCAGACCGTGTCGGCCTCCGAGCTCGGCCAGCAGCTCATCAAGCTCTACGTCGACACGCACAAGAGCCCTACCGATGCCACCATCGGTTCGCTCGCTTTCCTTCATCATTTGCTCTGCGTAGCCACCACCAACGTAGCTTACACGTGTCGTGTGCAGAGACGATCGTTCGACACTTTCACGGCTACGGCCTCGATGTGGACGACGGCCGCGTGAGCTTCATGAAGGCCGCCATCAAGTAAGTGGTGGATGCAAAATCTGTCAAGGCACCACCTACACTGACCATCGACGCTCTTCCTCGTTTGTGTGTGTTGGCTAGATGGACCATCGGAGAGGGCTGCGGCGGCAAGCATGGCGAACCACGACTTCACGACGCGCTCGCAGACTACTACGCCTCTAAAGGTACTCGAGCGCCACGATGGCGAAAGGAAGCTTATTCTGGTCCTGGACGGCTAACTGTCGTACGCACATGAATGATGTACGTTCGTAGGGGATTATGGGCGGGCGCAGCAGCACTACGTACGGGGCACCAATCCGTCCAAGTTCAGCAGCATGCTCGTGGAGTACGCCAAGGGTGGCAACCCCGATGAGGCCGACCTCTTCATCACCCGCGCCGTCCTGATGTACTTGTGCCTGCAAAAGCAAGATGAGGCCAAGCAAGTGCTGCACGCTTACCTTGCACAGAACTCGGCCCTCAAGGTACTGCGATAACGCACACGCACAACGCCTTCAATTTCTCTGAACCCAACGACACCTTGTATGCAGACGCACCCGACACCTTTGATCAACTTCACGCATCTGCTGCTGGACAGCTTCACGCGAAGCAACGCCCAAGCCCTCTTCTCGCTCCTGAGGAAGCACTACACCCCTTCCCTCTCGCGGGATCCCGAGTTCTTGCAGGTACCCCAATTTCATGTGTGTGTGTGTGTCTGTGTGTGTGTGTGTGTGTTGCGCGCGACTAATCTATCGAGGGCTACGACAGTACATGGACCAGATCGGGTCGGTGTACTACCGCCTGCAGCCGCGTGCCAACGCGGGCGGTTTCGGCTTCCTCAACGACTTCCTCAAGGTCTTCCTCTCGCCCGACGCCGCCGAAGGTGGTAGCGATTCGACCACCACGCCCTCTTCCTCTTGAATGTCAGCTGCACATCTCCACGGGCAATGACGCATCAAACACCTACCACGATGTATGTGAGGAACATGTTGGTCTTGACGTCCGCACGTGGCATCCGCATGTGCGTTCCACGCATTGCTACGCGGGATATTTAATTAGAAGAAACAATAAAAATTAAAGTGAAAATCATTTTGTAGCAACAAAGCCCGAAGAGGCCGCACACGAGATGTTCGTGCGCAGGGCAGCGGCGAGTGGGGAGGGACCCACAGATGATGACTCTATAGAGTCGCCCAAGGAAAATGAAGTAGAAGCCGAGAATGCTGCTGAGGCAGAGGCAGAAGATGAAGAGGGAGAGCAGCGGGCCAAGGTGCACTGGAAGGTAGCCCTACGTTCATAAATATATATACATGAATAATAACAATTTGGAACTATTTATGCTACTACTCAGTTTTATACAATAATACTATCAATAATCCATCAATATTGTATTTTATTTATAAATACATAAATTAATGTCCGCTTGGCAGAGGGAGCAAGCAGTGCAGCACTTTGTGCAGAGCCTGCAGGCGTCGCTGGCGACCTCCCGCCAGAACGTGGCGGCTGCTGCTGCCATCGCCTCCGCCACAACCGCTGCGACCGGTGGTCTGACCACCTCCTCGCCGTCTCTCGCGACCTCCGCCAAGGGCTCCTCCGCTGCATCATCAACAGGCTGGCCGGCCTTCCTTGCGTCCGTGCCACCGGCGGCGCCGTCGTCTTCATCGTCATCGTCGTCCTCTTGGTCGCGCCTGCAGGAGCTGGGCCACTTCCGCGCCAGGCAGCCGCAGCACCTGCCCACTACCACCACGCGCAGGTGAGCCGACACTTCCCTCGCCTTGCAGAAGCTATCCGGCTGACTGTATGCCGTGCGTTGTGTCGTGCGTTGTGTCGTGTGTGTCGGTGTGTTTCAGATCCGAAGCGAATCGACCGGGCGTGGCGCTGTGGCAGCTCGCGTTCGGCAAGGTGCGCACGGGCGAATTCCAGGCTTCTTCGGTCGGCACGCCGCTCGACCGGCGTCGCAGGCCTGCAGCAGGAGGAGACCACGTGCGGTTGCTCAACATCGAACAGCAGCAGCACATCCACCACCACGCTGTGCCGTTCCTCCAGCTGCCCACTGTCGCGGTGGTCTCCTCCCACGACGACGCGCCCGCGCAGCCTGCGCCGCAGCAACTCGGCACGTCGTGGCGTACCAATTCGCCTAGCGGCGGCGGGCAGTCGCCCACCCGACTGGGCGTGCGGATTGGGGGCCGGCCGCACTCGCCGCCGCCGCCGCCCGCCGCCACCGGCGCGCACCTGCAGCGTCGCGGCAGCGCCTACGATACCTTCTTCGACCACGAGGACCGGGAGCCGGCTCATGACCAACAACAACAACCTCGCCATCATCATCAACATCATCAACAACAACGTCAAGACCAACTGCCGGCCATAGCCGAGCAAGCGTCGCCGCCGCCGAGGGCCAGGATCGACCGCGGGCACAAGTATCATCACATCATCGACGACTACCCCGACGACGATGACGACAGCGCCGCCGCTGGGTTCACCCGTCGGTCGGACGACGATGATGCGAGCGACGACGGCAGCGACGTCGAGTTTGAGGAGGAGAGGGAGTCGCTGTCGTCGTCGAGGGCGTCGCTGTCGTCGTCGAAGATAGAGGCCGCCAACTCTCGCCCAACGTTGTCGGCATCATCGTCGGCGATGAGGCACCACGCCGCCTCGCCGCACCCGGCTCACCCGTCACCGCCGTCGGTGGCCTCGCCCACTCCCATGCGAGCGTCGTTGAAACTCAACCAATCGTCGCCTGCGCCTCTGCCGCACTATCGGGCGACGTCGTCGACGGACTTCGAACCCGTGCCCGAGACTGCGCAGCCGCCCGCGTCCACCAACGAAGAGTGCGGCAGCAGCTCACCGGTAGCGTCGCGCAGCAGCGGCAGCCGATCGCGCGACTTTGGGTCGGATCGGTGGCGCGTCCACCAAAAGGAGAAGTTCCCCTACGCTACCTACTCGGTCACCGACCCCTACCAGTTCGACGCCGCTCCGGGTACTTTCTCTCGCCGCTGGCCCGGCACCCCTCTGCATTCCACACGCATTCCTTAACACACGATCGGCAGAAGTTGAAGCATTTGATGACCGACAAAGTGAGTCGTCGTTCATCTCTGAGTCGGACGACGACGCCGACGAGTACGGCGACATCGGCCAGTACGGCAGCAAGAACTACACCGCAGGTTCGTCGTCACTCGCGCGCCTTCTGCACAACAGCGTGCCCTAAGTTAATTGTGGTATTTGGCTGTCGACAACAGCATTCAACTCGAAGAGCGTGCCCTATTCGGCGCCCAGCACGCCCGACGCGTCGCCCATCAAGCCGAAGCGGAGGGTCAGCCTGTCGACACCGTCGTCGCCGCACCGACTCGCCGCCCACCCGGCGGCGGGCCACTACCAGACACAAGCCGGCGCGGGAGGTGTTGACGACAGCAACGACTTCAGCTGCACCCACCGCGACTTTTGCCAGTACTGCCAGGAAGAGATGCGGGGTTACCCGCGCAACTGGAACGAGGAGTTCCAGTCGCTGCTCGAGCTGCCGGTCGTCACCGAGAAGGAGCGGCTCAAGCGCTACGAACTCATACACAACCTTGCCCAAGGTAAGTGTGTGTTGTGTGCGGTGTGTGCGGTGGTGCATGTGCGGTGGTGTTGACTCTTTTGGTATCCAAAAGATTTCTCGATCACGGCCAAGCTGTACGGCAAGATAATCATCGCCGAGGCGTTTCTTCCGCGCAAGTACCAGACCATCAAGCCCTGCGTTGTGGGCGGGCTGGCTGGCGGACCCAAGTACATCTACAACGGTATGGCCCCTCACTCAAACCGTTGCAGTTTACTCTAACCCGTCATCATCTTCTTCTGCTTCTTCTTCAACTCTTTGCAGGCATCTTCTTCAAGGTAACCGTCTACATTTCTTTAATGGATATATTGATGCTCATGTTTATATGATACATGTTGTATGTCGTTAATTGTGGTGTGTAAAACTTTGCACATCAGTTTGCGATGGACGACCTGGGCATCTATGGCTCGGATGAAAACGCGATGAAAGCGGCCGCGCACGACCTCAAGGGGCTCATGCGCTATTCCGGTATGCGGTTTTCCCTCAACAACGACGCGTTTTCCTTCAACTCACCCTCATACAACAATCTGTGATTCGAATACGTATCGACAGACATTGCCGGCTTGTCCGTTCCTCTCATCCAGCTTATAGACTACCGAGGCTTCAGGTATCTTCTATATATACACATTAAAACATATCAATAAGTTGTATGAATCATGTGCTAACATGTTCTTGTGTCGACGCAATTTCATGATCGTAGGCTGGTGGCCCTCTCCATTCTGCCGATCGAGCAGAGCACGCTGGTCTACGGCAGCGCCGATGGAGGCGTGGTGGTGCATACCGAGCATTCTCAGCTGAACGACTACATGGCGGCCGCGGGGCAAAAACTGAACCTCAAGGTGCGCACGCCCCCCCTCCCTTCCCTCTTCTCACATTCCGCTCGGCTGGTCTGCGTGAGTGAGAGCTCATCGCTCACGCTTGGCAGGGGCACCTGGGCGGTAGCGAAAACTGCGCCGATCGGAAGATGATCTACGGCCCCACCGACATCGGTGCGTTGTTATTACATTCTTATTTATATTTATATCGCACTACAGCATTACATACATTTTTTGACTGATCAACGACTCTGTGGCGTCTGTGCCTGCGGTAATGTACTTAATTGCAGAGGGTCACGTTGGATTGGTACGTGTCAGTGACACTCTTTGATCGAAAGTTAATCGAACTCACACGCATTGGCTTGTTGGCGTTGCTAGGATGGGCGCCTCTACGTGCTGGACTTTTCTCGGGTGCTGCCGCCCACGACCCCGTCCAAAGGGTACCCTCCACGCCCACACGAATCCCGGGGTTGAATGTGCGTGGACTGACGCGAAATATGGGGCCAAATTGCCACATTGGGGGGGGGCGCAGCAAGAAGAACGGGTACCTGTACGAACTCATGCGCCCCGAGTTCCTCAAAAAGAACCCCAAGCCCCTCAGCTCCGGTGCGTGTCCGATCCGAGTCTCACACTTTGCCCATTACTTCCCCGTGTCTCACTTGGCTCGTCTGGTGCCGTGTTGGTCGTGTGGCATCGTTTGTGCGGTGATGTGCGTGTGCGGTGGTGCGTGTTCGGTGATACGTGCGCGTTTGCAGATGCTTTCTCGCCGTTCGGAGTTGACTCGGCGACGGAGCACAATGCGGAGATCAGGGAAGCCACCAACAGGCTCCTCAAGGTATGAGTGCCGCGAATCGCTGTCGCGAGGCCAATGGCGCGCCAATGGCGACTCATCGGCGCGTGCATCAGGAGGTGATCCCCAAATTCGCGGCCTATCTGGACCTGCACTACCCGAACGCCGAGGACCTCTGCCGGCACCTGTCGCCTCTCATCCACAAGGAGGGCATCAACGTTCGTTACCTGGTACGCTCAATTTTTATAATTGACCATAATTACTGTTTTATTATATTTCTTCTTATTCTAATTATTATTGTGCAATTATTAATTGTTGGCGCTATGATTTCAGGGTCGGCTGCGGTACTACGTCAAGTCGGTCCACCTGAAGCAGCTCTTCTTGCACGAGATGATCGCGCGAGTGGTCAAGGTATTTTTTATGAGCTTTGTCCCACGACCCAGCGATGACGCTGTATTATCTCAGAACAGACTCAACCATCGCGCATTCGCAGGTGGCCGTGCATCGGAGCCTGCGCAAGAAGACCCGAACGCTCAAGATCATGTCCGAGGTGGCCTGCAAGGACGTGGTGGTCAAGCACTTCAACCTGGTACGCGTGCTTTCATAGCCACACACCACTGCACACGCACCACCGCACACACCGCACACGCTGTGCTGACTGCACGTGTGTGTGTGTGTGTCATGTGTGGCGTGGTGGGGGGGGGCATGGCCAGGTATTGGGGCGGCCCAAACGGAAGGCGGACAATTTCTGGAAGGTGGCGATCAAGTCCGAGGTCATGCGCAAGTTCGGCGAACAGTCGCTCACCACCGAAGAGCGGGGCGAGTACTACGACCTCCGCCGCAAGGTCACCATGTGTCACATCCTCCTCCGC